TTAATTCTTCACGTCTGATTCCTGCTCCTGTCTTTGAAACTGCCCCCAAGGTTTCACAACATGCCATAATAGGTAGACGTGTTCTTGTGAAGGTGTGAGAAGCAGCAACGTATATCAGACGCAGAACCATGTCAGGACAATGGGAAGCGGTGCATAAACGACTTTGAATGGGTGAATGGGAAACCTCCTGAAAAGCTTACAGAACCTACATTTTAAGCAAAGAAAAAAGGATACAAACATGACCTTTTGCAGTTTTCTTGTCATTGAATCAATTAAAGTTATAAGAATTTATATATGTTTTTTGTTTGAGTTGTCTCTTCATGGTAAAACTGTTTTTCTTAAATGAATAGAACATGGTCACGGAAAAAAAAATGTGCTCAAGGAAGAGGGACAAGAGAGAGCTAAGACCTCTTGAACATTTTCTTAGTATCCTTTCTAAATGTGTGCTTGTGTCTGCTCATGGGGGGGCCCAAACATTGTCAGTGTGAAATGTAGTGGAACCTCATTTTTGAAGAATTCTCCGTTCTTACAAATGGGATTTGTGTGTATTCGGTGTGTGTAGTGTATCCCTTGTACACATTCTTGGAAAAAGAGATTGTGTCAAAAAAGAAAACTTTCTGAAAGACAAATGTTCAGATCCTTACACCAGGAATCTGGTGTAGCCTAATTGCTCAGTTGCTCAGTTAGCAGATCTGAGGTCAGATTATCCCATTCTTGAGAAATAAAAACATGTATGTTTTCTAAGACTAAATAAAGCTTTGCCCCTTCATTTGATAATCCTGTTCATCCACTCATGTCCCCTGCTGAAGAGTCCTTTGTGATTCTTCAATCCCCCATGTTCCCCTGCTTCTTTCCCAGTGGTGAGGTCAGAGGGCCTGTCCTCTCCGCTGTAGTCACTTCAAGTGACGGATGGTAACACAGCACTGCCGGCGGCCCCCAGCTCTAACAGTAAACACAGTGAGGGTTGAGGAGGAGTGTGAAAGGCTGTGATAAGAAAGAGAAATGAGGAGCAAGCAAAAACAAGGAAGCGGAATGAAGCTGGACTTGAAAGGACGGACACCGAAGGTTAAAAGATGTGCAGCGTGATATCCAGCTGAGGTTTCTGTAGCTATTCTGTAGCAATGGATTCAATTATTATTGAAATCAGACTTGTTCAAGTTGTCTTTGAATTTGCTCTCATGTTTCAGGAGCCTGATGTAGAACCAGCCTTTAGAGCATTTGATTATTCCATCCACAAGGCTCGACACTGTCATAATAATGCAAAATGTATGTACATCAGCGACAGCATGTTGCTTTGAGTCATTTTGGCTGGAGTCATTTAGTCAGGCCTGTCTTGGCGTAGTGTGTTAGGTATTAGGTAAGTGCATTAGGCTTTATGCAATTATTATAGCATTGCAAGCTGTGAATTATACATGCTTAATGGAGAGTTAAAAGTGTCATTGAGGATAATTTAATTACTGTCCAACTCCCCAAGATCTCACCTGAAGACAGACGACCTGTAACTAACTAACTAAATGAACTACTTTTGTCCTGGTGGCCACGTGTGCCTGTTTGGAAGCAAGCGACCACTCATTTATCATAGATGGAAAGCAGTCTCAGCGTGCTGACGCTTTCTGGTGGTTATGTGATATTTACAGAGCATCACTGGTGGTGCTTTTTTTGAGTTGCCACCGCTTGACTCTTACATAAGACTGCTTGTCTCCTCGCTCACTTTTTTCTCCCTCTCTGTCCCTGTAAATCTTTTCCTCTGGGCCCTCATCTGATGTGCCAATTTGAAAGTCGCTCTGAGAGTCTCACGAGATCCAATGGAATCAGAAAAACAAAATAAGAAATGGAATTGTCTCTTCGTGTTTTACAAAAGATGGGGGACTGTGGCTGGGGGCCGGAGCAGGTGATAGCAGCGCTGTGCTACAAACATATGCACACACACACGTTTATCCACATGTGAGCCCACACCCCTTCTTGTCGCCACTGCTGCCATCAGTCTGAGTGATGTCAGTCAAATTAATTGCCGTTCCTTTCCCATGGCATGCTTGAGGGGGTTTCATAGAGGCAAGGACAGTCTAGCTCCCAGAGAAAATATACTTTAAAAGGACATCTCTGTGTGTGTGTGTGTTTGCCAGAGAGCAATAAAGTGTTTTTTATATATTTTCTTTGAGATTTCTAATGAGCATGAACTTCATTTGATTTGGAGATGCCTCTTTAGACTTGGATTTTATGGAGAGTCACTTATGGCTTTGCAATAGCCCTCATTTTATAACACAACACAAGAGTTTTACTCTTAATATCAATCAGGTTTTTCCTGTAATTGTCCACAAATACCATTACTTGTTTCCAGAGACATTCGTGGCCAAAATGAACAAAAACCCAGTGTCAAACCAAGTTAGATTTAGATTTTTTCTCGAAGAGTGACTTCAAGCTCCTGCAGGATAATAACACAGGGCGTCTTTAAGTGGGTCTTGTAAAATAAAAGCCATCGCATGTCCTTGTCACTGCTCGGCTCTCTTTTCACACTTCAGCTACCTCTGTTCCCCTCTCACTTCCCACTCAAGCTTTTGAATAAATGAGGTCATATAAGTGTCCAAGACAAGTTTACACTCCCAGTTTGAAAAAGTTGGGAAAATGTGCAAAATGTAAACAAGAACAGAATAAATTGATTTGCAAAAATCTCATAATCCTTTATTATGTATGCAGTAAAACCATCAAAACATATCAAATCTTGAAGATGAGACATTCTTATAATTTTGCGAGAAATATTAGAGTATCTTGAATTTCATGGCAGCAGCACATCTCAAAAGAGTTTGGATGGATCCTTGAATCCTCACTTCTTTTTACAGCTGTCTGTGAACATCTGGGAACCGAGAACAGCTGCTGGACCATTGTGAGAAAAAGGTTGCCCCATTTCCTCTGTGGTATATGTCCTCTGTGTCGTATTTGGCTTTTTGTGACGGGGCAAATGTTTTCAATGAGCAAAAGCTCTGGATTCCCAGCAGACCAGCAGCAGGATTCTCCCACTGTGAAAATGGACTGATGGCATGTCCTGGGTGTGTCCTGCCTCTCACCCAACGACAGCCACTGTCCAGTGTGTGATGATCTGAGTGTTAGCAGGTTTATGGGAGTGTTCCCGAACCCATTCAGTGATCTCCATCATGAAATTGTGCTAGCTTTCAACTCAGTGCTGGTTCAGGGTGTGATTATTGTTCCCTTATTTCTTACGAACAAAAATTGTACGATGTACTGTAGATGGTGGATAGTTTATGGTGTTTACAGATTTGTTGGTATTTTGGCCCATTGTTGAGTTCATCTTTACCTCTGAGAGACTTTGCCTCTCCTTGTTGCTCTTTAATGTGACTTACCTTTTGCCTTTCACCTACCTGTCCCTTTCCCATTCCTCTTACTATTCCAGCCTTCAGCACTGTCCTGGTATTTGCTTTTGCTTTAGACTTAAGACGAGCTAGCATGAATTAGCAAAATGTCTCACATTAAACATCTGGTTTGGTCTTTATGCTCTCTTATTTATAAAAATTATTAGTGCCCCAACTTTTTTTTATGTTGTTCTTTTTCACTTTTTGTTGGGCTTATTTTTGCAGATTTGTTATCAGCCCTCCATCCTGGAGGATGGAGGGCTGATAACAAATGTGACGAAACAAGGAGAGGGTGTACCAAAGCTTAACAGTGATGCATCATTTTAGGAGTGACAGCATGAGACATATTTTTAATGCAGTTAATAAAAGAAACAAAGCCAACAGTGCGGATACAGAGGTGCCACAGTGATTGGACATCTTTATTATTCCAGGCTGCTCACCAGTCCAGATGGGGCACTTCACTTTGCTAATGATGGCAATACATCACCTGACTGCACAGACAAATAAACACCAGCAATTTGTAAGAGTGAGTTCTTGGATGTCAAACACAGCTGGTCCCCTTAAGTTGGACTCTTTAAGCTCTGGTGTGAAATTTGCCCCAGGAAGTTTGATGTGTTGAGGTCAAAGCTGTACAACCAATCAGACATACACCACACAGTAGCTTTTAATGAAAATACACGAATCCATGTTCATTAAAATCTCGGTTCCAGAACTATTGCCAAGCAGGAAACTTCCAAGAATGTTTAAAAGCTCCTAATAAAAATGAGCAGGGAAAATTGCTCATCATTCTCAATCAGAACTGGAAAACGGCTTTGTAATATGAAATCAATGGGGATGGTAAGAATACATGTTAAAACTCCCCTGCCGTATTCCTACTAAATCTGATCTGACATAGATTAAGGTCAGTCAGTCTTTGGAAGCTTTGAAAAAATATATAACAAATAGCCACATTTTGGGCAGGGAGCTGAAACTTGATGGCAGTTCCAGAGAGGTTACAAATTTACTAACCTTTCCTGTAGAACCTATTCATTCATCCAACTGTCACTAACACTGATTCATTCAACATCCTGGTCTCAGTTTTGATTTGAAATTCAAACCAAAGCCAGACTGAAAGTCTACTCTAAAATAAAATGATTTGTTTGAAATAACATTTCAAACTATCAGAGCACAATGGGAAATGAGTTGGGACATTCATAAAATACACTAAAAAATAAGTTTGGTGCGAGTTATAGTATGTTTTTCCCCTTGAGTTCAAGCTGGGAAATGAAACGTAAAAATAAAAAGCAAAACACTGTTCAAAACAGTAGAGGCAGTTTGATCTGTAAAAAAATATACATAAGTGTGAGGTTGTTTTTCATTATGTTATATGTAATTGCGTGTTTGCACCATTATCTTATAGCTCAGTTAAAGCAGTAAATCTACTAAACCCAAGGGACATTTTACAGGATTTGGAATGAAATATATTTTTATTCACTCAAACAAATAGGATCTTAACTGTGTTTAACATTTGACACAATTGTTTTGATGCAATACGTGATTTCAGTTGACGTGTGTAATTCTCTTCCACTTACTTCTTCACAATCTTGAAATCTGTCATCTAAGGGCTGGTTTAGGACTAATTGATGCAAACATTTTGATGTTATCTTGAACGTACGATCCAAACCATATCAAGCCGAGTCTTTATTTGGACCTTTGTCTTCTCCTATGAGGTCATGAAAGGTAATCGACTGTAGCTGATGATAAACACATAACTCACAAGATACCATAACAAATTCAAGCAGTAATAACTTATGAGGGTGCTGCTGAGTAAATGCAGTTCACAATTTATGATTTAACATTTAGATTATGCATGACTAAGAATTCTTAATCCATAACAGCTATGAGACAATTTGGAGTTCAACTTCTGCTTTTTAGCTTCAAAAAGAAAGCCAGAGATTTCATTTCTTATGATGTTTACTTTAAACACGTACATAAATCCAATCTGTTTTCATTCTGTCAGCCATATTAAGTCACTTGTGGATGTATTTTACCTGCACTTGTGCCAAACATGATTTTGTTCAGGAGTCCTTGCAGAGCAAAGGATTTCAGGGTCCTGCGTCCCAGCGCATCTGTCTTGTGAGCTGTGTAATCTCCTGAAGAGTGTGAGTTATGTAGCATAGTTACGCTGCTCTTGGCGGGCTCCTTTGACAGTGTGTGTTGCTGAGTATGTGGGCAGGAGGGTAAAGAGGACAGCAGTGCTTGACATGATGCGCTCTGCCCAGTCCTGGGATTATCTATCCTGGCAGCATGACAGCACTGCTGCGCTCTCAGACCCCTGGTGCAACAGCAGAGAGTCTAAAAAAACCAAATCCGCTCTCCTCTCTTAGGAGCACACCGCTCCCCCCCCCTTTGAGCGAGCACAGCAATCTTACTGTGACAGTCTGCAAAAAAGGCAGGCCGTTCGCCCCGTGCAAACGTGGACATACACAGGGGTCAATGTGCCATCAAGTCACACTCAACGATTGGACAGAATCACAGACAGCAGTGTCCTTGTTTGAAGTCAATCAGACCGGCTGCATAAGGAAACTCTTGGACTCTGAGAATTAAGGGATGAGTCAGTGCTGTGAGAGTCGTGAGTCATTTCTTGTTTAGACTGGCTGTCTCAATGTTGTGGCCTCCTGGATACAGTCTGTGGCAGCCCAGCAGGATGGAGAAGGCTTTGCGGAAATCAGCATTGAAGGCATAGATGATTGGGTTGAGCGAGGAGTTGGCCCAGCCGAACCACACGAACACGTCAAAGGTGGTGGGGCTGATGCAGGGAAGGGCCTCGCCTCCGCTCGACTGCTCACAGAAGGGCACCATGCAGTTTAGGATGAAAAACGGAAGCCAGCAGCACACAAACACCCCCATTATCACAGAGAGTGTCTTCAGCACTTTTGTCTCCCTCTTGAACGTCATTTTGAAAGAGCTCTCCGACTCGGCGATGCTGGAGCCCCGGCTCAGGCTGTTGTGTCTGTTCTTGGCACTTTCGGCCGCGCGCTCCAGGGCGGAGATCCTCCTGATTTGCCTGTGAGCGATGCGGTAGATCTGGGTGTATGTGGCTACCATGATGACCACGGGGATGTAAAAGCTAATGAAAGAGGTGGAGATGGCGTAGGTTCTGTTCAGGCTTGAGTCGCAGTTCTCCGGGCGCTGTTGAGATGTAAGGTTTGATCCCTGTGACACTAATGACTCGGTTAGGGGGTTGTAAGTTTTAGTCTGGGCCTTGTGCCAGTTAAGTTGCACGGGGATGAAGGAAATGAGGACAGATAGCGTCCATGCCATGCTGATCATCAGGCAGGCCACCTTAGGTGTCATCTTCCTTTCATAACGAAAGGGGCTGGAGATGGCCCAGTAGCGGTCCAGGCTTATAACGCAGAGGTTCAGGATGGATGCCGTGGAACACATGATGTCAAAAGCTACCCAGGTGTCACAGAAGGAGCCAAACGGCCAGAAACCTGCGATCTCCGTCACCGCCTTCCACGGCATCACTAAGATGGCGACCAAGAGGTCGCTCACAGCCAAGGATATCACAAAAAAGTTGGTCACCTTTGAGCGCAGGTGTCGGAACTTGGTGACAGCCGCACAGACCAGGGTGTTTCCCAACAGGGTGGTGAGGATCAGCAGTGAGAGGAAGCAGCCAGTGAGGACACGGCTCGATGAGGTCTCATCCAAAAAGCCGTCGTCGATGACAGTTGTGAAGTTCATGAAATCCATCCCTGTGCCCCTGCGAGCTGGGTGCATTCACGGCATACCGAAAAGTCCCGCTACATTATATCCACTGTCGTAGAGCCTGGGAGGCAAAAAAGATCGAAATAAAAAATCTCCATCATTCTTTCCAGTGATAAATGTTGAAAGACGAGACGATTGAGGCAAAATTCCTCTGGGAGAGGCATTTGCCTGACTATGCAAATTAGACTTGGCATAATTTAAACTGCAGTAATGAAGAAGTAGTTAATTCCGCATGCAGCTTCTCTTTGTCTGCTCAAAGTAAAGAAATTTCAGCAATCCTGTCGGCTTTGATCTTCAGGTGTCCTGGATCTTAAAGAAATGAATCTGAAAAGATAAAGAGAGACAGAGAGATTGAATCTTAAAGAACACAGAATATATCCTTGTAGTGTATTTCTCAGAGTAGCAGCCGTGGTCCCATTCAAAATATTTCACGGAATCAATTTAAGATGCAGGATTTTCCCTGCAGGAGGGGAATGGGATTAATTGAATGTGACTCCAATCAACGTAAACACCATCCTGCCAACACAAGAAAAATGCGGTCTTACTCACTTTACGGAGATGCAATAGCTTGGTGTTACTTCTACAAACAAAATCCCACCGCTTAGACGCGAACTTCAGATCGCAGAGTCCATCTCGAAGGCGTTCTGTGCCCCGAATGCCTCAAAACCCAAAGAGCGATCCGGCCGTGTCTGCCACATCTCTGGCTCCAGACACGGGACTGAGAGGTCTCAGTGGGGCCGCGTCTGCGGATCTGACGCCAAACCGCCTCAAGTTTGTCTTGATGCTGCGCTGTCCCATTCAATGCAAAGTGGTGCGAGGAGCCTCACAGTGGGGATGGGAGCGTGTTGCTTCTGCCCCTGCAGGGTCACGGGATTTCCTGCCCGTGGGCATAACGGCATGGGAGAGGCGGTCCGCAGGTACTGCCCGTGGCGATTTCTATTCAACGGACCAAATAGGTTTGGTGGGGTTCAGCATAAATAAAAAAGAGGCGATAGAAAACGGGACAAGAACCTGACATGTAGGCGCATAGAGAGTCTCTAAGGCCACCTAGTGGAGTTGATCAACAGCAGCAGGGGGACAGCAGCGAAACAAACCTTTCAATGGCTGAAAATGGAAATTTATAGCTAAATTCCCCGGGGTGATAAATTAGATACAACATTTTCTCACACACACATGCACACACACACACACACACACACACACACACACACACACACACACAAAAGTCAGTCAGCCATTATCACTCAGCTGTCATCCTGTTCAAAAGCTGGTGTCTTTCATGTGGGGCATAATGACCCATGATGCTCTGCATGAAAGATGCAGAGGGACGTAAAAAGAGTCATGACATGCCAGCCGTCACCTTGTAGTGATGTAAGTGGGTCTGACAGGAGAAAACAAAGCAGCTTTTAACTCTTGTGTATCACAAACATCAGCTGTGTGAGAAATTATTTGACGATCTTTGGTCCGAGTGACGTAAATGCAAATGAGCAACACAAAGTGTCATTATTTATTTATTTTTGGGTTGATTGTACACTGCTTATCTGGAAAACTTTATCCTCTGTCATTTTTTCAAAAGGCAATTGTGAGGTCATCCCTTCTATTCCTTTTGGTCATTTTCTGGCATGCTGCTCTGAGTGCAGTTCTTCTGCAGGGATTTGAAAGAAGCAGCAGCTGGGTGAGGTTGGAAGTTGAAAGGTCAGACAGACAGTTTGAAGCACACGGCTGACCTATATACCGGAGCATCTCTGTCTTCCCTTCCACCCACATCTGTCTTTGCTGCAGGTTTCCTCTGTTAAAAGTTCCTTCTGCATCTCACATGCAGTTTTACAGTACAGAGGTCACACACCCGCATGCCATATGATTGCCCCGTTCTTTTAATCTTCCCCACAATTTGTAACAAGATAACGAGGGACTGAGTTATGTGCTCTGTAGATGTAGTGATGTGACAAGTCCACTGTGCAGCAGTTAACGTCATGACAAAACACGTGAGTCTTGTTGGACTGATGCGGGCTGACAGGTGCCCAGCCAGCCAGAAAACGCAGAAATGCTGTGAGTAAGAAGGCTTGGAGCCTAACCTTGAATAAAAAAAAAAAAAAACATCATCTAAAAAGATCTTCAAAAATCCTTTTTTCATATTAATGAAAGGTTGCTGTCCAAATATCTGATATCAGTCTAGAGTTATGTTCAGTATGGCCGTGTGTCAGTCCTACTTTGAGACTAAATTCATGAGCAGTGGTTCCTTTGAAGATACAAAGATAAGCAAATGTATGGCAGCCTTAAAGGATGCCTATTTTTGTGAAATCAGTAGCTTCCTTTTTCCAGTCTGTTCAGACACTGAGACACTTTTGTTGATCCAAAGCTCTAAACGCTGAAGAGACACAATGAAGGCTGACACAACAATTGGGGTGTCCTTTTTTTCCTTACTCTCATAGATATGTCTTGGGTTTCAGTTCACCAGCGTTTGTTCAACATTCCTAAATGTGAAGACATTTACAACGTGAAAAGTGGGGGCTAATAATGAAAACATGGTGCAAGGCACTAATCTACAGATCTCACTGCCAGGGATCACTCGAGACAGAGTTTACCCCAATCCCGGCTCATATCTGCACCCATCTCACTCTTCTCCCTCAAATGGGGTTTCTAGGGTTGCAATATCTGTCATGTCACATTTACGCTTCTGCACAGAAAAGAATGACTCTGCACATCGCGCCATCTCACAGTTACCACCAAATGTGCAGACACTTGCCTGCAACAATTTGGACATCGGGATAAATGCATTTTCTATAGAGGGTGGATTGATCCTTTCCCAACATTTAGCATGTGGTGACAATAAAAAGACTCCAGGTGCTGCAATGCATGGCCCACGTGATTTTCATTTGGGAGACTGTCATTGAGAAAACTGAGCCACGGACACAATTTAAAACATAGTTGTAAAAGATATCGTAAAAAGTTGGTGATGAAATTATGTTGACATTTGAATATAAAATACTTTTTTTCTATTTCAACTTTAGATATACAAATAAATGTAATGTTATACACAAAAACAGTGAGAGAAAATGACAAAAGTAGTTGATTTATTTAAATACAGCAGCTCAGCTCAAACAATGGTTTGCACATTGTGAACATTGTATCCATGACATGAACCATTTACATTGAGTTAACCAGTTGCTAACAAATGAATAAATACACACTTCAGAAATAAATACCCATAAATAATTAAATAAATAGATTACTAACACAATCTGTTAGCTACTGTAACATTTGTCTACTAGGTTTGATTTTCAACTCTAAATAACTCTGAACCAATCAGGGTTGAATCTGCCCTACATAAAACAGAAAACCATCTCCAGCCCTCATTTCTTGTTGTTTAATTTCCTGAAGTAGGTAATGTAGCTGACAAAAGCCTTTTTGAAGGTTTTTCCTGGTTTAGTCGTGCAATTTCTGTCGTCTCTCTGTTAGAGGAAAGTGGAAGTTTGTTAATGTGTCTCATGTAGATATCTGTGTGTGATACAACAGTCACGTCGAAATGCTTTTTGTTGTTTTTTTTTTTTTACAAATGTTTGGTGAGACTTTTAGTTTGCTTACCTTTTGATCTTGTTCCAGTTTGATTAAGTTTGCATTCAGCGTTTGGAGAAGACTGTTCCAATCTTCTTTCTCAGGTACATGTCCAAGTAGATTCCTCAGATTCTCGCTGAAGAAACCCACACAGTGGGACTGCCGAGGTGATATAACAGAGCACAGTCGATTTACAAATGATGTGTGCACATATATATATATATATAGATAGATAGATAGATAGATAGATAGATAGATAGATAGATAGATA